AGGAGGAGGAGGAGGAGGAGGAGGAGGAGGAGGAGGAGGAGGAAGAAGAAGAAGCATTCTTTCTTTCTCCGTATCAGAACAGAAGCCAATATGTGGAGAGTCAAGGACAAAATATAAGAAAAGAAAGAGGCCCACTGGCAGATGGAAGGAAGTAAAATGTAATAGTCTGGGCTCAATATTCCCTAAATTGACATCTCTGACTTTAACATTTCCCTACAATATACTAGGCCAGCCTTCTCCAGTTTGCCATACTCCAGATAATTAATGACTGTTGACTGAATTGCAGTCCCAGCATATTTAGAGAGCATCAGTTTGGGGAAAGCAGAGACTGAGGCTTTCAAAGTTCACTTCCTTCTATCAGTTATGATCTTAATCACCAGCACTCTGATCTTCTTTCCTCTTCCTGCCTGACCTTGCTCCTATGGCTGTTTCCCACCAGGCATGCCAGTGGATGTGAATTCTGCTGCCTTCCGCGTTTGGCAAATCTTGAATGGTTCCAGCTTCCATGGATGTATCCGCAACCTATACATCAACAATGAATTGCAAGACTTTACTAAGACTCAGATGAAACCAGGAGTTGTGCCTGGCTGTGAACCTTGCCGCAAGCTCTACTGTGTGCATGGCATTTGCCAACCCAATACTGCTCACGGACCCATTTGTTACTGTGATTCAGGGTGGGCCGGGCCCCATTGTGACCAGCCAATTACTAACCCTTGCCAGGGACACAAGTAAGTACATGTATTAAAATTTTTCTTTTCTCCTAGACCTGGGGAACACAATCTTTTTGGGGCCAAGAGCATATGTGGAACTTTGAGGACACTCACAAGACATCTGCCATGGGAGCTTGCCTATTCATAAAACAGCTGCTATGACAAGATGTGGCCAGTCACAAAATACCCAGGAGGCAAATGAATTCTGGATATACTCTGTCTTCCCAGTGGGACCTTTAGTACCTGGCTGTGATGTGTGTGAAAATAAAGTGTGCTTGTTTTGGCCATTGGATTCCAGTTCTGCTGACAGAACCTGGAACATTTTGGTTGTTCTGAGTTTTAGCTGAAACAAAACCCAGGGGGATCCAACTACAGGAAGGGTGATATGTGTTGGCCCCCTTGCTCCCCTCCTCCTCTGGATGACCTGTGAGCCTGTTCCTTACTGAGATGATCTTGGGAGCTCTTAGTGTGCTATAACTCATTGGCCCACCTGTTTGCTGATCTTTCCAGCATCTTCCCACCCTCAGCCACTGTTGCCAATGTCTGCATGGGAAAAGAGGAGGATGGACCCTTTGTAGTGTGTGCGGGGAACATGTGGGGCCCTCCCAACATCATAAGGGCTGTTTGAGGGGATAGTCTTTTCATCTTTTGCTGCTTCTCCATTACCATTAGAATTATAGGTGCATGCTAAAGCCAAGGAAACTCTTCAGCCTTGGCTTCTTCCTGCTCTTAGCAACTCCCACCCCAAACACTTTTTCCCATGACAACTGCATCTCAATCCACGTCCCCAAAAAACTCATCCCTATTTCGTCTGTGGACCAAAACATCCGAAACACATATGTTTCAGTTTGGGCATGGACTATCCATGCTTGGAATGGTTCTTCCACAGAATGTTTACAGAATCCTATCCAAAGGCATTGCTGCAAGTAAATGATGCTAGAGGTAGGTCTGTTATCTTGCAGCATTCTAGCTTCTAATTTAATTTTGTTTTAATTAGAAGAATTTTTAAAGAAAATCAGGTGGGTCAGGGAATCTGGTGGGCATTAAGTGAAGTGTTTGAGGGCATATTAGTGTCCATTGCCTATCCTAGCTTGAAACTTTCTATGCAAATCAGATATCTCACTGCAATTCTGTGAGCAAAATACGTAACTGTATTGAGAGGAAGTGTTTTCACTGGGGAGACATCTATGGCATACAGAGATCCCTAAGTTACTGGTTGTCTCCAATTCAAGACAGTAGGGACAGTTGAAAAGAGGCACTGGCTTAACTGCAATCACATGTTATCTACCTATAGTTAGCTTTATGTCTCACTTTATCTTCAGGTGTGAACATGGAATCTGTATGCCTCTTGATGCACTCTCCTATAGTTGCCAGTGCCAAGATGGTTACAAAGGGGCCTTGTGCAACCAGGAAGTGGAACTACACAACCCATGCAAGAGCTTAGAGTGTGTTCATGGTCAGTGCCAGATCTCGGATGCAGGAGAAGCCTACTGTGAATGTAGCCCAGGATTCGATGGGGATCTCTGTGACCAAGGTCAGAAACATTTCCCTTCCCACATATGTTGACCATTACTAATGATGCTAAAGGAACTCCCCTTCTGTCCAGAAAGTTAGGCTCATGTTTTTGCTGGCAGTTAATATTAACCCAGTCCTCTGTGAATGGAAGAAATCTTGCTCAGGAATCAACTTCCTCCTGGAAGTGGGTATTCTAGCCAGTGAAATATTCCTTCTCTGATAGTACAGAAAAGCTTCTTGGTGCATCGGCTACAGCACAGATGGTCCCTGCAAGCAGCAAACACCTAGAAGAAAGATACCTTTTCTTCCAACTATGGTGGGTATAAGCGACTTGAATAATAAAGGAGCATGAGCAACAGAACCACATTTCCCAATGTTTAAAATCTAGAATGATTCTTTACTGCCAACAATATTATATCTTCTCTTTCCATTGGAAAAAGCAGGGGCATTTCACTTATCAGCATTTGTGAGAAGAAATCAGTGCCTCTCTCAGCCTGTCTCTGAACTATCTGAAGATTCAATAAACTTCTCCATTACAGTATCCTTAAAGATACCGGAACATTATTTTAGCTGCCCTTCACTGGAATCCCTCCATTTCATGATGATGATGATGATGATAATAACAATAATGCCTATAACATGATGACCTTGCTAATTTAAGTCATCCCTTTACCTGACCTATCTGTTTTCCCCAGAATCAGAGTGTCGAGGAGAGGCTGTGCGAGATTTCCATCAAGTCCAGCGAGGTTATGCCATTTGTCAGACAACACGCCCAGTCTCCTGGATGGAGTGTCAGGGATCGTGCCCAGGACTAGGCTGCTGTGGAGGACTGCGTCTTAAGCGCAGGAAATATACCTTTGAGTGCAGTGATGGCTCATCCTTTGTGGAGGAAGTGGAAAAACCTAGCAAATGTGGCTGTTCCCATTGCATGTAGTCTCCGGTGAGGGACAGGCCATAGCCAGAGACCTGGGAGCGAGGCCTGCCCTAGCAGAAGCCTTGGGACATTCCTGTAATCTCCTCTTGCCTCTTGAGCTGCTTTGCAGAGGGGTGAGGAAGGAGACTCAGTTTGGAATCTCAGCCACTTGTTTATCATGGTGACGGTGGCTATTCAGGACAGAAGAGACAAAGGTGTAGATAAAAGCTGTTTGTTTGTTGTTTTCTGCTGGCAAATCCAGCTGAACAGATGTATTTATATCCAGCACAGATTCTACCTGGGGCCACTGATTGGGCACACCATGGATTCTTACTGAAGATCTCCACAATTGTTTGTGCTGCCAGTGTAATGTCCTAAGAACCATGCGCGTGGGTCTTGCCTGGCCTCAGGAACCAGTCATTTCGTATCTTTTGTACCTTAACTGGAATCTCCTATCTGCACCATGCCTTCTTTCTTCTGTTGGGCAATTCTACTTTTTCTCTTGCTGAGTAGCTTCTCTTATTCTCATTCTTACTACCTGCTCATGGTAACTCCATCTTCTGTTTATGGGGCTAAACTGCAAGCAGTGCAGAGACCAGGAGAAAATGGGACATTATTACAAGACTAGAAAAGAAAAAATACTTCAGAAAAAGAGGAAGGAATTGTTGCTGCCTACAGCTTAATGGTTATAAGGCACTGTGGAATAAAAACAGCTTAGACATGCAATTGCATTGTGGTCATCGGTTGAAAGCTGCCTTCATTTATTAATAATAAAAAACCAGATTGGCTGAGCCACCAGCATTACTATTGCTGTACTGTTGCAATTTAGTGCCAACTTATTTAGAAGTAAAACCTACTAAACTCCATGGGATTTAATTTCTAAATAAGACTAAGATTTGATTACATGAAAGCTAAAGAAGATCCTGGGCTAGAAACTGCAGGTCTGCTGGCATGAAGGAAGAGGACTAGATCCAATTCCTTGATGCAAATTCTGCAATTGCCACAATAATTTCTTTAATTCCTTACTCTTATCACAGTCTTCCATACCATAAAATCATTTTCTGCTACATGCCACTTGATTATTGTAACAAGTCTGGACTGATGGAAGATGCCAGTTCTACAGTCCAATTGCTATCACCTCTAGAATAACCTTGTTCACCCCCATCATTATTCATGGAGGGAGGAGGACAAATGAATAGCATGTATTTCTTGCATTCAGCTTATTGTATTGCTACTTTTCAGCCATGCAGTAGGATGCAGCAGGCCTTCCCATAAAATAGAACCCTTGTCCTTCTGTAAACGAGAGAGGAATGAGATTGGGACTGTACTACACTCAGTGGGAATAAGATGGAGCAAGGCATTTAAAATAAAATAAGCTGAGTGTCTTCTCTTTCTGTCTCCAAATCCCTGCTTGAGAGAGGGCTTTTGTGGTGGACTTTAACTGCAGGAACAAATTGTTCAATGTTTCCTGTCAATAAATGAATTCTGTTGGTACTTCTTACAATTGGCTGACACGTACAAGTAATACCAGTAGCTTTAAGTTACAAAAACAAACCAGATTTTTCTGTTACTGTAGACCCAAATTTTGTAAAAATTGAGATTCTCTCTCTCTCATGCTCACACACACACATGAATTAAGCAATACATTTGCAGTTTATTTGCATAATTTATTTTGCTGCTAGTTAGGAAGAGCAATTTCTATAAAACACCAGGGCTGCCAATCGTGATTATGTTGTGATTGTTATTTTCTGTCAAGTTGTAGCTAACTTGGGGGACTCCAAGGCCAAAAGCTCTCCAAGCTGTCCTGTTTCTTGGAGCATCGATTGGCAAAATGACATTCTTCCTTGTTGAACTTCTCTCCGTTTGTATTCTTGGCGTATCTAGAGAAGTAGCTTGCTATTGCTTCTTTTCTCAGGGTGCCAGAGCCAACAGAGTTGCTGCAACCTCTCCTGCGGTTGCCTGGTCATAAAGGAGATGGGGTTGGACTTTTAGGCGGTCCCTACTCACCCTGTAACAGTGCCATGTTTCCATTTCTGTGGCATTTTGTACAACTCTGTTCACCCCCAGTTCACCACATCCTCCTGACCCTGCCACTCATGGTCAAGGACTCCTTTTTTATCAGACTATATCCCACTTATATTGCAGCTAACCTGTATATCTGCAGGCTGTCCCACTACCCACCACTTGTGGATGCATCCTGGTCCCTCCATGCAGGGGCCCTGATGATAGGAAATATTTACCCTTTTCCAGCTTTTGAGACCTCAAGAGATAGTGGACATAAAAAAAATAACCCCACTGGATTGAGACAAGGCCCAGTTTAGTGCAGCATTTTGCTTCTCATGGGGGCCTCCCGGATGCCACTGGATGCTTGGAAATGGGAAATGGATACTGTATCCACCTTTCCCGCCATTGTTCCCCTGCAACTAGTCTTTGAAGACATGTTCCCTATGTCCAGTAATTGTTCCTGATAGCCTGTCCTCCATGAATTATCCAATCAGTGATGTTACACTGTTTTAAGTCATCTTGAGGGCTTATTCAAATATTAAATAAGCTCTTGGTAGACACTATCATGCAGTAGCCTTGCACGTATGCAGTTACTGAGAGATCACGGTCTCTGATGCAACCTCTGGGGCCTTAGTGCTACCAATGTTCTTGTTTCCAAGACAACCTCAGCCAGGTGCCTGTTGTTTGAAACTTATGGCTCATGTTTTTTTTTACAAAAGGGTCTGCTGGAACGGTAACTCCTTGGCACTAGCTTGAGAGCATGTGACACATGTTATCTCAAGGTAACTGTTTCTAAAACATCAGATTTTATTACATACCAGTTTCAGTAAGATACTCCCAAGGGTGAAATAGATTACTATAAGTGTATGCATGATGTCCATTAAACTAGCAGTAATAAAGCCATCTTCTACTTCCTGTGGAGATACGCAGGAAACTAGGGAGTAATTGCTCAGTGAATCCTTGCAAAAGGGTATTTTGCAAGGTATATATGAGTTCTGTGTGTGAGCACGTACCCACGCAATCCCTGGGTTACCTTGGGACCTGTGCTTTCCTTGCTAAGAGAGAGTGGGTAAGTGGAGTAAAACTCAGGTTTATTCTGCCATGACTCCTTTGAGATTTGCTAAAATGTGATACCAAGTGAGGCCAAATCAGATTTGAATACAACGTGATTTACAGAGGCATTGCAATCACTACTACACCTCCTAATATTTTTCATTTTTACTGTAGAAAACCCGCAAAATGTTAAATGTGTTTTTCTTCCCACTGAGAAAGTGCAACTTTTAAACTTTAATTTAGGAGTTTTAAGTAACAATGACACAAAATAAACTAATTAGGGCTTCTGACCTTTTTTTTTTTTTTAACAACTTCCTATTTCTAATGGTAGCAATTAGAATCTACAGAATATCAGTATGTCTGAATTTTTACACTGTGTCTGACAATTCAATACATAAGACATATGTTGGAATAAAGTAAATTATGTTGGGTCACATGTGTAGTTATGTGCCATGGTGGCAATGGTTACATTTAGCTGATTATAGCCAACTCACCCCCTACCTCCACCCCATATATACACTTGGAAATGTAGGCGTCAACTCATAATTTTCAGCTAACACATCCTTTGGTCATAATAGTGGGGAATTATGAATCAAAGTCTGGAATGGATTTATTTGAAATTGACAAATAGTGTCAGTTTGTCATCTTCCCTTTCTAAGGATGCCCATGTTGTTTGGCACTTGTAAAACTGTCAAAGCAATCTTTGTATGCTGCACAATTCTCAATTCAGATTTGGCAGTAGCTTTTTAAACTCAGTTTTGCTGTTGCTGTTACTCTTGATGCAATGGTGTCTCACTAACCTCTGCACTTGAAAAGTGTTCTGAGCTTCATATCAGCACTATTGAAAATAATACTTTTGGTGTCCAGCAGTCTAGTCAGTGCCACACTTGGATGAACATGTGAGCTGTCTCTTACTTTTGTAAGCTAAAATTCCCCTTTATACAGAATACTTAGGTGACATATATTTATATATTTAAGCAGCGCTTAAAGACATAACCTTAAATTTATATTTCTGTTTGATACGGTATTTTTCTATACTGTAAGGATGTTAGGGAGCATCAATCTTCTGGCACATACTTCTCTATCATTTGCAAACTATCATAATGGAGGTTAGTGTGTGTTGCAAGCCTGAAGATGTGGTTTTTATGAAGGATCCAGTGAGGAAGCTTATGATTGGCATTTCTTTAAAGCTAGCAGTATTGTTGGAGACTTTGAAAAAGTAGTCTGTGTTTTTTTCATGGGAAGATAATATTAATTCAGTCAGAGACACCAGGCTAGTCTTTTCCTCTCCCTGTAACAAAATGTGCTTTCTCCCAACTCCTACGATTGCCCAAATAAAATGTGCTGTTCAGTTTCCTAAGAAAAAGATAACAATGGTGTTCCTCTTCATTGTATGATGGAGTACTTTTTTGTGACCTCCCCAAGCTGCTTTTTGATAGGAAATGAAGAGAAATATATATATATGATGGATTCAACATACTTATTTCAATAAGAGTCCCTCTCTCGGTCTCCCTTCTCCCCAGGATAGGAAACAATAAATTGAACATTCCAGTCAATAAAATCAAATTTGTTGCTGCTCTGCTTTTAGTTATACAGCCTCTATTATATGTGTGTGTGTGTGAGTGCAGGCATGCACGTATGCATGACAATTTGGTGTAGTTGTTTAAGGTACCAGGCTAGAAAGGATCTGGGTCACTCTCTCTCCACCCTTGGAAGAAAACAATGGCAAACCACTTCCAAAACTGTTGCCCCCCCCCACCCCCAAAATGTGTGGACTCGTCCAGGCAGTTGCCAGGAGTCAAGAATTACTTGAAGGCACTATATACACAAATGTGTATCTTTGCAGCCCTGTTCACAAATAGTCTTTGCAGCAGGGTTTTTTTACATGCCTGCTTTTGCTCCTTGGACTATACAGTACCCCCATGTAAGTGTCCCTAGCATTTATGCATGCAATAATTTTGTTTTTTAAAAAGTATTTTAGTATAATTTAGCAAACATTTATGCTTCTACCTTAAACTGACAAAACTCCTGGTTTTCTGTCTTATAAGCTTGAAAATATTGTACGGGAAAATGGAAAAATCAGACTGTTACAACTATATTTGGGAAAAGAACTACTTTTCCTATATTATTCTTAAAAAGGAAAAAAAATAATGTGCCCTTTTTTGAAGATTGAAATCAATAGAAAAGATATTTGCATCATTTGGACTTAAATTGTTTGCATCAATTAACACACTGGATCTTCACGACTGGAGTTACTACATTCTGTACATTCTGCCCTTATTTTAGGCCAAAGGGAAACACCAGCATGAGAATTTTAAGAGGCCATTTCTGGCTTAGTGGTTCTATTACCACTTGGCTTTGTGACAGTTCTTGCCATAACTCTGAAGGAAGAGGGAAGGCAGTTTACTCAGGAGGAGTGGACTGTAAGAAGTTAGCAATTCTCTCTTTAACTCTTGCCCAATGTTCGGCACTGAAACAGGAGCAGTGACATTTAAGACATCTCGTACAGGCAGCAGCGCCAAGGGAAGGGGAAAAAAATAGCATCTCTTTGCAAATTCTAGAATTTAATCTAATGAAGTGATGGATCAAACAGGAAGGAGTACTTAAGTAAAAAAAGAACAAAAGAGAGAAAAAAAAGTTGACAGCAAAACAGGTCTTGGGTAAGCATGCTTTGGACCAGCCTTCCTTTATCTGGTGTCCAAAATATCCAGATATTTTGACTATAACTTCCAGAATACCCAAGCAGCAGAGCCTACAGCTTTACTTACATTCAGCTTTCTCAGAATTTTGATAGCTATTTCTTCATGATTACTCTACAAACTCCACCACTAAAATGAAGCTAAGTGGGAGAGGGGCTCCTTTAGTCACATATAGATTAAATTGGAGGCTACAGCTAACAAAGAAAATATTACCAAGCTCTCTTGATTTTTCCATTTTTCAACAGTTCAATATCTGGTGGTATCTACTACAACTTGTTTTATCAGAAAACAGCTACTGAAATGGATAATGAGCTTGCTTTTCCATCAATCAGCTGAACAGAACTTGTGAAACAGTAGTAGATTGTGGACCATGGCTTGAAAATCTTAACATTAAACTTCATCACACCACACCAGTGCTGATATTTTAAAAAGTTTAATAAGCTGCAATAAAATAAGGACTCTTAGAGTACATAGAGTCCATCACAATGCATAAAAGAAAGAAAGCAGCACAGAAAGAAGGTAAAAGGATTAAATCACAGCCTGGGCCCTGTGATCAGTAACAAGCACTATCACTTTCCATTGGTTAGTCAAGGAAATAACAGACACACACAAGTATGAAGTTGTCACAACAGCAATTGATACAATTTCCATTGTAAAATAGCCCTAGCTGTCATAGGTTTATGAATTACTGGAAAGCAACTGAATATTATCTTTACTTTTATATACATTTTAAAATGTTCTTCAGA